ACTGCTCTCTCCGGGCACAGCCCCTCGGCCGCAGGCCGGTTCCACCAGACGGGGCTGGTTCGCTCCAAGCACAAACCGTCCCCTGGGAAGGTGGCAGCCGAGAGGCTGTGCCCAGCACACACAGAGAGATGTGCAAACCAGAGAACGGGTGCAGGCTCTGGGCTGAGCCAGCAGAAGCTGAGTGTGGGTCGGCGCTAGGCATCCGGAGGACTGCGGCTGGCCGGGCAGTGCACGCGCAGGCTGCTGGCCACAGTGCATCCACAGGACACTGCTGTTGCGGCCTTGGGCACACACACGCCAGCCAGGCCTCCTGAGATCAGAGCCTCAATCGACAAGCTGCCCGTTGGGGCTCAGGCCTGGGCCCCTGGCCTGGCTGCAGGCCCGCGGTGTCACCAGCACGCCCCCAGCAGCCCTGTGCTCCATCGAGCCTGAGCCCAGCACCCCTTCTGTGGGCCTCCCCTCTGGCACTATGATTTCCGGACCCAACGGCATGAACCACACTGAAACCCAGGCCCCTGCCTGCCCCTCCAGGTGGAGGCGGATTCCAGGCGCGGGGCTCACCGGCAGCCGCCGGGGGTGGAGTTGGCTCCTCTCCGTGAAGTTCGACTCCTGCCTCACTGCTGTTCAACCTGAGGGATCTGCAGGCCAGCACCCGCCTCTCTCCTGGCCCCTCAGGCACAGGTGGGTCTCATCACAGCAGGGCAGTGTGTCCTGCGGAGGGTCTGGCCATGCAGGGGACCTCCCAACACAGGCCACGCTCGCTCACACAGGGGCCAGGAGATACAGCGGCAGCACCCGAGCCCGCAGGGGGATGCAGCCCTTGCAGGCGGGCGACTGGCACCAGTCAGACAACAGAGCTGAGCCTGGCGGACCCAAGAGCATGCGGCACCCACGGCTCCGTCCTACGACCCAAGAGCATGCGGCACCCACTGCTCTGTCCTACGACCCAAGAGCGTGCGGCACCCACTGCTCCGTCCTGGGACCCAGAGCAAGCAGTACCCACGGCTCCGTCCTAGGACACAAAGCAAACAGCACCCACTGCTCCGTCCTGGGACCCAAGAGCGTGCAGCACCCACTGCTCTGTCCTACGACCCAAGAGCATGCGGCACCCACTGCTCTGTCCTATGACCCAAGAGCGTGCAGCACCCACTGCTCCGTCCTGGGACCCAAGAGCATGCGGCACCCACTGCTCTGTCCTACGACCCAAGAGCGTGCAGCACCCACAGCTCCGTCCTAGGACACAAAGCAAACAGCACCCACTGCTCCGTCCTGGGACCCAAGAGCGTGCAGCACCCACTGCTCTGTCCTACGACCCAAGAGCGTGCAGCACCCACGGCTCCGTCCTGGGACCCAAGAGCAAGCAGTACCCACGGCTCCGTCCTAGGACACAAAGCAAACAGCACCCACTGCTCCGTCCTAGGACCCAAGAGCAGGGCCGGTGCCGCGGCTCACTAGGCTAATCCTCCGCCTTGTGGCACCGGCACACCGGGTTCTAGTCCCGGTCGGGGCGCCAGAGTCTGTCCTGGTTGCCCCTCTTCCTGTCCAGCTCTCTGCTGTGGCCCGGGAGTGCAGTGGAGGATGGCCCAAGTGCTTGGGCCCTGCACCCCATGGGAGACCAGGAGAAGCACCTGGCTCCTGCCATTGGATCAGCGCAGTGAGCCGGCCGCGGTGGCCATTGGAGGGTGAACCAATGGCAAAAAGGAAGACCTTTCTCTCTGTCTCTCTCTCTCTCTCACTGTCCACTCTGCCTGTCAAAAAAAAAAAAAAAAAAAAAAGACCCAAGAGCATGCGGCACCCACTGCTCCGTCCTGGGGAGCACTGGCTGCACGCCAAGCTCTGATCACAGCTGGGCTGCTTCTGTAAAGAGCCCCAGGCCCTGCCCGACTTGAGCCAGGGAGCAGCTGCCTCCAGGGGCCCCAGGCCACGTGGATGCCATCACCTAACCCAATGAGACTGGCGCACCCGAATCCTGACGCAGAGCCGGGCCTGGCTCTGGAGATCCTTACTTCAAGACAGGGCTCCTGGCCCCACACCACGGCCACACAGCTCCTTCTTCCTCCCAAGGACAATGCAGGCACAGGCACAAGGCATCCACCACCGAGAAGCCTAGACAGCTCTGGGGGGAGGAAGACACCCCTCCATGGCTGTGACCTGGGGCGCTGGGGGGGGTGGAGAGACCCCCCCACAGCTGTGCACCTGGGGCTCTGGGGGGAGAGGGAATCCCTTCCACAGCTGTGACCTGAGGCTCTGGTGGGGGTGGAGAGACCCCCCCACAGCTGTGCACCTGGGGCTCTGGGGGGAGAGGGAATCCCCCCCACAGCTGTGCACCTGAGGCTCTGGTGGGGGTGGAGAGACCCCCCCCACAGCTGTGCACCTGGGGCTCTGGGGGGGTGACTCCCCCACAGCTGTGTACCTGGGGCTCTGGGGGGTGACTCCCCCACAGCTGTGCACCTGGGGCTCTGGGGGGGTGACTCCCCCACAGCTGTGCACCTGGGACTCTGGGGGGGTAACTCCCCCACAGCTGTGCACCTGGGGCTCTGGGGGGGTGACTCCCCCACAGCTGTGCACCTGGGGCTCTCGGGGGGAGACTCCCCCACAGCTGTGCACCTGGGACTCTGGGGGGGTGATTCCCCCACAGCTGTGCACCTGGGGCTCTGGGGGGGTGACCCCCCACAGCTGTGCACCTGGAGCTCTGGGGGGGTGACTCCCCCACAGCTGTGCACCTGGGGCTCTGGGGGGGTGACCCCCCACAGCTGTGCACCTGGGACTCTGGGGGGGTGACCCCCCACAGCTGTGCACCTGGGACTCTGGGGGGGGAGACTCCCCCACAGCTGTGCACCGGTGCTCACCTCCACAGGTGCAGGGGCTGCACACACGCGTTTCTCTGGCCGCACATGCTCCCTGTAGGGGTCCCAGCAGCAGGGGTAGCTGCTCCCACTGAGCACCGGGCCCCTGGGACAGGCTGAATGGAAGCCCACTGACCTTCCAGGCCCATCACAGACCCCAGGCCACACAGCCTGCCCCGGGGAGTGTGCTGCCTTCAGAAGGAGGGGCTGGGCAGGGGCCCCGTGTCCCGGGGCGGGCTCCCTGCAGCCTCTGGCCTGGCCTTCAGTCACGCAGGTGCGAGAAGCTGCAGGCCAGCGCTGTCCCTGCCCCACGAGCAACCCAAGGCCGCCTGGTTTACGTGAGACGGGCAGGGAAGCTTCCTCACCCGGTCCCAAAGGAAAGCCTGAAGGAGACTTGATCGTGCCCGATGCTGAACCCCATGGGGGTTCGGGCGGGTTTGCCCCCCCCCCACTGCTGCCCTGGGCCGCCTGAGCCGTGGGAAGGGGCACAGGGGTGGCGCCCGCAGTGAGCAGACCCTGCAGCTGCCACAGGCTGGCCCCCTACAGAAGAGGGGTGCAGGTGCGTGCAGGTAAACTGTGCTGCCCCACGCCAAGGTCTGCGGAGAAGAACCACGCAGAACGCAGCAACGCTCTCCCAGCAAGCGTGGTCGGCTGTCCCGGCACAGCAGTCAGCTCTACCAAGGGCACAGCCAAGGGTCACCTCACCAGGGGCAGTGCCAAGCCCAGGCGCAAACGCTCCATTGGCAGTGCCCGGCCCTCGGCCCAGGCTGTGGGTGCACACCTCGGGTCCACTTGCCGGCCATTCCTGTATCCTCAAGATCACACTCGGACAGCCTGCAGGCAGTAGTGGGACGCAGTCCCACGAGGCCTGGGGTCACTGCCGGAGGAGCTCAGTGTCGTGAGGCAGGAAGGGGATCGCGGCTCCCGGGACCAAGCTGAGGCGGGGGACGTGCTGCTGTGTGGAGCAGGCTGGGGCCATGGGCAGCAGTGTGCCGGGGTACACGGGGCCTCGGGCCCTGGGCGTGCAACAGAGGGAGGGCGTGCTGGGGCAGACACAGGGGCGCTGAGCTGGCTCCCTGATCTGGGGCACCCCGGCCTCCTGCCTGCAAAGGGCACGCACGGGACATGCACAGGCCACGCCCGCCTCTGACGCTAAGGTTCAGTGCTGCGTAAAGCAGCGGCAGGGCAGGGGCCACAGAGTGCGAGCAGACGAGGACAACCATCGTCCGCGCTGCTCTCGGTGCTGCTTCACAAAATGCTTTTTCTTTAGAAAGTCTACGTTTTCCCTAAAATAGTCAATTCTTGGTCAACCACACTCCAAGTTTCATTAGGACACAACTATTCTATTTCCAAAACCTTGTTAGCTGCTCTGTTCCTCATTCCAAGAACCTCGGGGGTTCCTGAGACCACACGGCTGATGCCGCCGCGCCTCCCCCGGCAGCAGGTCCCTGCCCTGCACTCCTGCAACTCTGCAACAGAACCCGGCACGCGCCTAATTGGACAGTTAATCCTCAGAGTCTCATGCCAGCGTGGATATTCCAAGACGTTCTTATTAACTGGTCTACAGTAAATGAAAACTGAAACCTTCAAAATACAATCTTGATTTTATTGACATAACAACGTAGCTGATTTTGCAGTTAGCTTTGGTATAAAATTTCCCTCTTGACATGACACAGGTTGGGTTCTAGGACAGGCACGAGAACGGAGGAAGCACAGGAAACTAAGGATGGCGCCGACGCCTGTGCTCCGTACCTCCCCGGAAGCCAGGACCCTAGGGCCCCCCTTCCGTCTGAGCGAAAAGGACCTGCCCCGAGAGACGTGTGGCGGGCAGGGCAGGGAGGAGGGTGCTCAGCCCAACAGCACAGGGTCACGCTGATGGCACTGCAGAGGCCACGGCTGCCTGCCGTCCCCCCTTACCCTACAGACTCTACACCTGCACCAGGTCTCGGCCTCTGACAGTGCGACGGACAGGGCGCACCCCTGCGACCACGGCCCAGCAGGGGAGTGGAGGCCAGGGCAGGCCTCACAAGCTGGCCTCTCCCGAGGAGGCGGTCTTCCTCTCGGGACAACGTGCACCACACCCGTGCTGCCCACGGCCACACCACCCCGCAGAGCAAGCCCGCGCCTGGCTCACAGCCAGAAAGACGGAGTTACCCGAGGCGGGAAGGTAGGTGAAGTGCTGGAACTGGCTTCTCTTCCGCTTGCCGTTGCACACGTAGAAGCTGACCTGCACCGGGCTGGTGATTCTCTGGTTGCGGAAGGGCGGGATCTCCACCACCAAGGAGTGCTGGGGAGACACGGCAGACAGGAGGCAGTGAGCCCCCACCATCCCGGCCACAGCTGCGGCGGCCCCTGAAGGCGCTCGGGGCAGCCACCAGGCCACTGAGAAGGGCTGGGCCCCGCTGCCCTGAGCCCCGGAGACTCTGGGACCGAAGGCCGGGCTGCCTGGCGCCCCGGGGCGGGCTTTCACAGCAGACGGCTGCTGCCCTGGCACGAGGCTGGCTGTGCCGTCCACCGCGGCTCGGTGGCCAGCAGGAAATGCATGGAAAGCACGGCCGTGTGCTGGAGCACCTGTGAGGCCCCAGGGCAGCTGGGTACTGACACTGGCTCTAGCACGGGGGCTGTGACCTTGGCCCAACAGCCAGCGCAGACCCCAGCTCCACCGCAGCAGTGGCACCACACTCAGGCTGGGAGCGCGGGACGCGTGCGGCGGCCGCTGTGGCCTCATCGCATTGTAAAAGTGAAACCCCGCAGCGTTTTCACAGCAACCTTGCTCTCCCAAGTGCTCATCTGTGCCGGGCTGGCACCGCACGTGAAGATTGCGGGCGGGGGCGGGGCCGGGGGCGCCCAGGCCCCAGCTGCCTGTCTGCTCGAACCAGGCGCGAGGGGCGGGGCAGGTGTCCCTCACATGCCTGCAACCCGTGTGATTTCAGCCTAACAAGCAGGGAAAACATGTGAAGAGAATCCATTGTCTCACTTCTTTGTTAGTGTGATTAGCTGTAGCTTATTTCCCAGTTTCACAGTGAAATTGACTGAACGTGGTAATGAAATTTTAGAACATCAGACACAGATAACTGGAGAGAACTTTAGGTCCAAGCCGGTTCAGGAGGGGGAGGCACAGCTGGGCACCCACAGACCCCTGGACCCAGCACAAGCTCCACCCCCGGGGCCGCACCTGCTCCTGGCAAACTATTCTGTCATTAACCTCACTTCCTCTGGCGCCCTCCTCAGTGTCTCAGAAAGATCGGGGTGATCCGGAAGATTCAGAGCCAACGCACACATGGACACTGGAGGCCACAGTGCAGGACAGCCGGCCCCACGAAGGGGGGGGGGCGGTGTCACTGGAGCTGCGTGCGTCTGACCCAGAGCACTGGCACCCTCTGAGCCAGTTCCACGGAAGGAGACGTGGCAGGCGGCGCTGGCCCCTGGCCGCCACTGTGGAGTTGGTCTTCACAGAGGAAATGAAGAGAGCAAGGACCTTGCTCAGGCTGACTGTGAACGTGAGTGAGTTAGGAAGGACAGCGGTGTGCGGTCGGGCCCCTGGGGCCAGGCTTGTGAATGCCAGGGACCCGAGGGCCACGCCCCGTGTGGGCACAGGCCGGGGCACATCAGCCTTCTCAGCACACAAAGGACACAAGTTCCGTCTCCGCTGGAGCCTGCTTCTCAGACACGCAGGGGAGGAAGGGCTACGGAAGGAGTGTGGCAGGAAATACAGGAAATGCTGGCCACAGAGCAGCGAGCTCCCAGGTGCACTGGCACAGCCCTGCAACACACCTCAGTGTCACTGTGAGAAAGTCCATTGTCTTAATTAAGCTCACACACTTAGTTACAGACCATTCGTAAGCTGCCTGCACACACAACCATCTTGTTTAAAAGCGTCTCCGGGGTGAGCACTGCGGGCAGCGGGCTGAGCCGCTGTTGCGACGCCAGCATGCCTCGTCAGAGCACTGGTTCGAACCCGATCCAGCTCCCTGCTACTGCTCCTGGGAAGGCAGTGGCGGGCCCACGCGGGAGTCCCACATGGCTTTCCTGGATCCAGGTTTCAGCCTGGCCCAGCCCTGGCCATTTAGGGAGTGAACCAGTGGATGAAGATCTCTCCCTTCCTTCCCCATCACTCTTTCAAGTAAATAAGTCAATCCTATTTAAAAAGAAAAAAATGACATCTGCAACATGGTGCACTTGTACCCACGTGTGTATCCTGCCCTGGGGCCACTCAGGGGGGGCAAGAAAGTCAGCTGAGTGGAAGCTGGGGGCTGCAGAGGACCCTGGGGGCAGGCAGGGGCTTGTGCACCTGCTGCTGTGGGGTGTGCATCACACAGCAGAGGACTCTGAGACAGAGCTGCAGCGAGAACAGGGAGGGTGGCAGGCCCGAGACCAGCGGGCAGATGCTGGGATGCCCGGAGAGCCTCCCCCACCAGGACACACAGACCGAGACGGCTCGGCAAGGCCAGCTCCCTGCCCTGTTCTGATGCCCCTCCCGCTGCGGAAGGGCAAGGTAAGAGCCCAGCCCTCTGTCCTTAGGAAGTCTTGGAACCACAGCACCTCCGCTTACGCTGTGTGGTGGCACGTGCAGACGATGTGACAGGCCACCCAGACACCTCCATGGTCGGCAGAGTGAGCATGGAGCTTGGGGAATTCTGAATTTCTTAAAACACCACTTGCTAGCCCTGATGTTATATTAACCTAAAGTTCCTATCACTTTTCTGAGACTCAAAGAATTAAACAGTGGATGGAAATGCGACTGTGACGACCCTTCACCCATCAGTGCTCTGAGCACAGCAAACACAGACAGAGACCCCGCTGTCGGCTGACTCCTGGAGACAGGAGGATACACCTCTGCGATGCCAGCTGGGGCGGCGGAGAGGCGACACTGACTTCAGACAAGCAGTCTCCAGGCCAGGCCTCCGGCTCGGCATCTCATGAGAGTGCCTGGTCAAGCCCCGGCTCTGGCTCCAGACTCCAGCCCTGGGAGGAAACAGGTGACGACCAGGGTGCTTGGGCCCCGGCATGGGGCCCAAAGAACATGTATGAGGATGTAGATGATTTAAACAGGCGCTATATGCTGTCCTGGTATGGGCACAGGTGCTTGTGAAACGGCAAGAAGATCTCCATAAAGAAGTAAATTTTGACCTGAAATCTGGAATATTTTTACTTTTTTTTTTTTTTTGACAGGCAGAGTTAGACAGTGAGAGAGAGAGAGAGACATAGAGAAAGGTCTTCCTTCCGTTGGTTCACCCCCCAAATGGCTGCTATGGTGGGCGCGCTGCGCCGATCCAAAGCCAGGAGCCAGGCTGGGAGACCAGGCGGAGTTCCTGGCTCCTGGCTTTGGCCTGGCCCAGCCCTGGTTGTGGCGGGCATCTGGGGAGTGGACCAGCGGATGGAAGAGCTCTGCCTGCACTGCTGTCTCTCCACCTTTCAGATAAAGATCTAAAAATAGTCTGTAAAATCAGCCAATGGTAGAAACGGTCATCACTGTCAGGCACTGGGATGCTGTGTGACGCGGCGTGTGCAGCACACCTTGTGACACACGCCACGTGCACACACGGAGCCGCAGCGCCTCAGCCTCTGGCTTCAGCGGCTCCAGTGGCCTCCCTGCCCTCGGCCCCGGGCTCCTGTAGGGGTGACGCTCGCTCACTGCCGGCCTCTCCAGCTGAAGTCTGCTCGTGGGCGGCCAGTGCTGGGCACCCATGTGGGAGGCTGGGAACACGTGGCCTCTGTGGGCAGCCACCATGGGGGACCAGGGATGGGAGCACAGCCGGCGCCACGTGCTCCCTGGCAGCAGAGGCTGAGGCCCTGCCCAGCATCCTCTCTGTCCTGAGTGCACAGTGCTCGGCTTCCCTGACCTCTGACCGGGGCCCGTGCACCATGGAGGGCAGGCAGGGTACTCACCGGCTGGCACAGGTCTCTGTCGGTTTTGGCTTCCATCTCCCAGACATGGTGGCCATCTGGAAGGCAGGGCAGGGCGAGGCTGTTACTTTGTGAGTGGAGGGCACCCCGACTCCTCCTCCGTGACCCAGGCCCAGGGCCCCAGACAGTGGGGAGGGGATGAACTCTCTCCGGAAAGACGGCTGGCCCTCCAGGCTGGGACAGCCACGGGCCCAGCCTGCAATGCTGGGCACTGCAAACCTGGTAGGGCCCAAAGACCTGTGCCGGGGGCTCCTTCCACCCCAACCCCACACACAGCGGGAGGTGTGCGGCCTCCGAGTGCAGCCCTGGCTCTAGGTCCCGTCCCCAGGATATGACAGAAGCAGCCAGAGCGACCCTAATAGGCCTCACTCAAGGCCCGGCCCCGGCCCCGCTCAGGGGAATGGCCTGGGGCACGAGGAAAGCCTTTCTTGACCACTCACTGCCGCATCAGGACCCAGAAGTGCAAAACTTGAGGGATTTTTAACCCTAGCCCAGTGGGCTCCCAGATGAAAGGCTGCCGCGGGCTCTGCGCCTTCGAGGCCCTCCCCGGCCAGCCGGCTCCTCGGGACTCGGGGACTCATCTGGGGGCCTCTTCCCTCCTCCAGCGTGCAGGAAGTGCCCAGGCGCAGCTGCGGGCCGCGCACGCGGGTCTGCATGCTCAGCCTGACTGCTGAGCCCGGCAGGACCCCCCTTCCTCTCCCTGCGCTGGGCGGGCAGCAGCCGGGGGTCACATGGGGGCTCCCAGTCTCAGCCGCACCAGACAAACCCACTTGGGGACAAAGCACGTCTCGACCAGAGGGGTGGCCCCGTCCCTCTTCCATGGAAAACAGCCGCTCACTCACGAGGCAGCACGCTTTCGGGCTCTGGGGAAGGAGCATGGGGAGTCCCGGGGCTCCCTTGTGCCTGCGGCCCCGCGGTGCAATCCGGACAGGTCCACACCACCGCCGGGCCCCTCCCTGCCCGTGTTTACAGACGTCAAACTGCCCTTCACATGACCAAGTCTCTATTTTCTTTCAAAGCAACTTGTGAGTTTTCCTAGGACAAGGCCTGACTCTGCCCCACCCCTGCGTGACCGGCTGTGGTGTCGCCACCTGCCTGGCCGGGCCCCGCCTGGCTGCAGTCACACTAGAGTCTCACTAAGAAAGCGACTGAGAAGGGGGGCCTCGGCCAGCACCCGGAAGCAGCTCACTTGCGAGTCACACGCTCCGGCAGGGGGCGCTGCTGTGTCCAGGTGCGGACTGGGGCTGGACAACAAGGCACGGAGCAGAGTGCGGGGCCCGGGGGAGGAGCTGCGAGCGCCGCCAGTCCTGGAGAGCCCACCGCCGCAGCCTGGCGTGGCGACCACAAAGCACACGGGCCTCTCGTGCCTGAGAAGCACAGAGAAGCGACAGAGACGTGAGGCAGAGGCGACCACGCAGCTCCCTGGACCCAGGGCACCTGCCAGCCGGGCGACGGGCGCCCTCGGACACCGGCCCTGTCCCCGCACACAGCCCAGGGCACAGGCCTTTCGCTCTTCCATTTCTGCTCAAGACCACGAACCAGCTGCTGTCCTTTACGTCAGAAACACATGGGGCGGGCACTGTGGCGTAGTGTGCGACGCCCCGGCCTGCTGCGTCGGCATCCCGTGTGGGTGCCGGCTTGAGCCCCGGGTGTTCCACTTCCGACCCAGCTCCCTGCTAACACGCCTAGGAAGGAAGTAGATGAAGGCCCAAGTCCTTGGGCTCCTGCACCTGTGTGGGAGACCTGGAAGAAGCTCCAGGCTCCTGGCTTCAGTCTGGCCCAGCCCCGGCCATTGTGGCCATTTGGGGAGTGAACCAGCGGATGGACGACTCCTGTCTCTCTGTGTCTGTATTTCTGCCTTTCAAACAGATAGTAAGAGAAGGAAGGGAGGAAGGCAGGCAGGCACAGCGGCTGCTCGCGCTCCTTGTTTTAGAAGTTGCAGGTGGTCCCCTGCCCTCGGGCGACCCTGGGGAGCAGCAACGCGCAGGCAGGCCGAGGCCTCTCCCCAGCGGAGCCCACGCGCAGGCCGAGGCCTCCAGCAGGAGGGAGCGGTCAGCGCTGAAAGGGCCTTTGTGCCTCAGCCTTATCAGCAGCTCCCAGGTTCTCAGTCCGGAGTAAAATGTTCCAAACCATCAGGGGATTCCCTGCGGCTGAGTCATCGGAAAGGCTTCCCCGCCACGCCCGCTGCCTGGCCCGCAGGCCCCGCAGGCGCGCTGGGCTGACACATTGTTTCCGAGCAGGAAGCAAGAGCCACCTCGGAGCCGCCAGCTTTCCTGAGACTGCTTCTAGTCCTGCTGGGGCCGGCCGCCAGGGCTCAGGGCTCAGCCCTCCCGGGTGCCTGAGTCCCTGTCGGGCTCTCCCACCGGGGGAGGGGCGGGCCCAGGCCCGCGAGGTCACTGGGTTAACGAGCGGGAGCTGCAGGGGCGGCACAGTCACACAGAGGGCACAGGGGACTGGGGGCCTGGCCCAGGCCCAGAGGCATGGCAGCCTTTGGGGCACGTTGTCCGCTGTGACCAGGAGGGCAGACGTGCAGGCACTGCGGAGCTGCCTGTCTGCGGTGCAGTGACCAGGGAGACCCTCAGGGTGTCAGCGAGGGAGGCTCCGCAGCGGGTGAGCAGGAGGCGGCAGCCCCTCGTTCGGGACAGCGAGCGGCCCTGTCCTCTCCGACTCCCGCACGGTGCTGCACTGCAAGGGAACCGGCCCTCTGGGATTAGCCCGGCTGGCACTTGGACACTGACACTGTGCCACCCCCTCCTGAACATGCCCACCAGAGATGGATCGAGGTGGCCGGCGCTATGGTGGAGCGGGGACACTGCTGCCTGCAGTGCCGGCATCCCATATGGGCACCGGTTCAAGTCCCGGCTGCTCCACTTCCAGTCCAGCTCTCTGCTATGGCCTGGAAAAGCAGTAGAAGATGGCCCAAGTGCTTGGACCCCCGTACCCACGTGGGAGACCCAGAAAGAAGCTCCAGGCTCCTGGCTTCAGATTGGTGCAGCTCCATCCACTGTAGCCATTTAGGGAGCAAAACAGCAGATGGAAGACCTCCCCTCACCCCCACCTGTAGGTAACTCTGCCTTTCAAATAAATAAATAAATCTTAAAAAAAAAAAAGAGAGATAGAATGGCCACCACATTGTTAAGGCAGCTAGGTGGAGATGAGACAAAGCGCTCCACCCAGCACTATCCCAAATAAGGGTGCCAGGAGAGGAGCGACAGAGGGACATGTGCAAGACACCACGACCACCCTGGGGGGCAGCAGCTCCCCTCCCGGCATGTGCCCACCAGAGGTGGACACTAATCCACCCAGAAACCCGTCAGGAGTGCCCACGGCAGTTGCACACACGACAGCAGCACCGGGGAGCTGCCCACGCCCAGCGCTGTCCAGTGGACAAAGGAATGTGGCCGGCACACAAGGGGACACTGCTCAGCTGTGGAAAGGACAGACACCTGCTCACAGAGGAACCTTGAGGAGGCTGTGTGAGGGACGGGCATGGCACACAGGGGCCAGTGCCCAGACCACAGCACGGGCTCGGCGGGCTGGGGAGGGGCTGCTCGCGGTGCAGGCTTCTGTGCGGAGGGGGTCCACGGCGCAGACACAGGGTGGTGGGCCACGTGCCTGCCGGGACTGTGGGTCAGCACTCAGTGCAGCTGCCGTGGGCCTAGCACACCTGTGGGGCAGGGGCACATGCCTGTGGGGCAGGGCCTAGCACGCCTGTGGGGCAGGGCCTAGCACGCCTGTGGGGCAGGGCCTAGCACGCCTGTGGGGCAGGGGCGCACGCCTAGCTCCTCTGTGCAGGAAGCCACTGCTGCTCCACCTAGAAGGGAGGCTGGTGTGTGCACGATGCCTTCGGCACGCCCACTCCTCAGCCCCAGGGCTGAGCTGGGAGGAGCTGGACCATCGCAGAGCGGCTCACAGGTGACACCTCTCTGGCCCTGGCCCCTGCCACACGTTGGGCCACTCCCCCTACGCAGGGGAAAGGCAAAGGCAACCCGGCAGGCCCTGCCTTGCTCCCACCCCACAGGTCCCCACGCCAGCGGAGAAGAGCTTCCAAGGGTCGCGGGGTCAATGTGCTCCCCCCACCCCAACACCTGACCAGCAGCTACAACCTGCGCTCTCTGCGGTGGGCTCTGAGTCCAGAGGCCAGTCCTCAGCCAGTCAGCACTGAGTTCCCCAGCACCTGGCTGTGGCCACGGCCCTGGGCGGCTCTGAGTCCAGAGGCCAGTCCTTAGCCAGTCAGCACTGAGTTCCCCAGCACCTGGCTGTGGCCACGGCCCTGGGCGGCTCTGAGTCCAGAGGCCAGTCCTCAGCCAGTCAGCACTGAGTTCCCCAGCACCTGGCTGTGGCCACGGCCCTGGGCACCGGGAGGTGTCAGGGTGGCACCTGCTGGCTCCGAGCCCTGTGCTGGCTGGGCAGCACCAGGGAAGGTCCCATGGGATGGGCTCCATCACAGCTAAAACTCCAAGTTCATCTCCTCCTGAGACACGTGCAACTTATAGTCTAAGCTGGGGACTGCGCACCAGTCCTTCACCCGGGGCCATTAAGAACACGGCCCCCTTGCCCACGGCTGTCCCCACACCAGAGTGAGCAGAGCTCCATCCAGCCCCACAGCCACGCGCTGCTGGCCCGGCCTGAGCCCCGCCTGACCAGATCAGCACCGTGGTATTTTTATTCCATGACGAATGCTGCCGTGTGTGAGCGAGGCTCATGGCACTGCAGCCCTGCTGAGCACCAGGGAAATGCAAGGAGGATGCTTTCCGACACACTAAGCCGTAGTTTCTGGCTGAGTGGCTCCACGTCCGTGGCACTGACACCTGGTGAGTGCACAGGAAGCGTCCAGAAACCCTCGAGGGAGCAGGTGACTGCGTGCAGGCCCCCCACGTGAGTGGCAGTCCCCCAGCAGAGCAGGTGAAACACAGCCCACTCTGGCTGCCTGGCCCCTGCTGGGACCGCCACGACAGTGGGAAGATCTCAGGGGACGCGAGAGCTCTGGTCACTGCTGGCACAGCACGGAGGGGCAGCAGGTGCCCTCTGCAAGGTC